TCAAGTCAGCTGTTATACACATGGCGTCAGTTATACGCATATATGAATTTGAAATGTAACATTCCGGAAAAGAGCAGGATGTACCTAACAATCTTTGTCTATGATCATGATCCTCATCAGTCCCTTGACAGCTTCGATTGTTGGGGGGTGACCTAAGGACAGAAGAAACAGACAACCTTCTCCAGGATAATCTGTTGGGCGTGGTTTTCAGGAATCCCGGCATTGTTATGTCCGTCCACTCTTTGATGTTGTCTCACCAGCTTTATACGTTGCCGTTCACGCTGACGTCCGCCTTGCATGATGGTCTTGCAGAGGCTGTTATGCCGTGTGACGTGGCCAAACAATGACATATTCCGATTGCTTCCTGTCGGCACACGAGACTTTTCACCTTTGCCCTGTACATAGTCGTTGGTTTTGTGCTCCCAGTAAGAAATGGAGAGGAGTTTTCTGTTAAACATTTCTCGAACGCCTGGATCCTTTTTCCTGTATCGACAAGGGGTGTCTAGGTCTCAAACCCGTAGAGGAGGCTGGATACGACCAGCGATTTGTAGAGCTTGAACTTCCTATGGAAGCTGATGTTGCTCTTCTATATGCTTTCCAGTCCATCCATCGCTGCTATGGCGATCCGTGTCTGCGATAATGACAACATTATAACCTGACAATAACTGAGACACACTACTTGAACAAAGGATGAATTTTGGGCAGTTTCTCCTTAATTTTGATCTGGATTTGAAACGTGAAACATCTTATTGAAAAAGTAGATTGCAATTAAATAAAAAAAATTGTCGGTTGAAATTAAGGCAGTTATCATATATATATATATATATATATATATATATATATATATATATAATGGGCTCTCCCGTCGGTTTCAACGTATGAGGATCTGACAACTTAACCAATGGATTCAGTTATAAAATTTTGTGCGATAATCTTAAATGGCACTTATGACCCGCTAGTGATTTACAAAGATTTTATTTATCTTTATATATTTATATTTGATTTGTAACCTGTAGTCGATATTAAATTTGTCAAATTCTCTCAATTACAAATAAGCCCTTTAAGTAAACGCAATTTTACTTTCCTTCGTCCCATCTCTCTCCCCCACCTCGTCTTTCCCTCCTTCTTATTCTAACATTAGATTGTCTATGGTGTGTGTATGTCACCACGAAATGTATCTTTATGCATTAGACATCCGACAACATTCATTTTTCTCTTACTTAAACCCCTTCCACCCATCTCTCCTAAAATTCTCTCTGTTAAGGTTTAATCTCCCCCCTCCTCATACTTACACTCTCTCTAAATTCTGTTTTTATTTCTGAAGTTGAATAAATTATGACCATGAAATATTAGTGTTTAAGCATTTTTATTATATCCTTACACTGTCCTAGACATTGAGTTCTACCTGGATTCTTCCTCTTGGAATTTTTATTCTAAAAATATACATGTATGGGTATTTATATATTTTGCATATGTATGTATATTTTTCCAGTAATATTATCTATCTATCTATATCTATATATCTATATATATATCTATATATATATATATATATATATATATATATATATATATATACTATACAGCCTACATTCTGCAACTTATAACTCTCATCATCTATATTTAAAATCTTACTCCTCCACTCCCCAACTAATAATAATTGACCTGCCTAACGCTTGTACATCGATCAAAATTTTTTAAATTATTTTCATAACAATTTTCACACACCGAGGAATCAGAAAGAGATCGGGTTTTTGCTAATAATATGATTACCACTAGAAAATGTACAAACATCTATCAGTGAGTAATTCCCATTTCTCTGCTTATTTCTCGACTCGTAGATAAAGGAAACAGACGTGTCTGAAAGTTCCGGATTTAAAATCTTTCTTTTCGTGCTTCATTTCCGTTATATGGTTAATAATTAATATTTAATAAATGTTTTTGTACTGATTATATTGTTAGCCTTTCGTTTGTCCTTGTTTTATTAACTAACCTATCTATTTTATATACTAGAAGAAGCACAGGCACTTTCTTTCTATATATATATATATATATATATATATATATATATATATATATATATATTCCATTTTTTAATAAAACAGGGGTTCTGATCACGACTTTTTACTTTAAAAGATTCTGTTTTTTCAAGCTTTGGAAGTTTCATGATCCAAAACCCTTTAAAGGGGTTATGGAAATCATTACATGGAATCTTGGTCTGTCTTTTATTCAAACATATTTCTGAATTTTTTTCATTTCCTTTCCTCCTCAGGTCTACCCATACGGGATTAAAGTTCTATATATATATATATACTGTTAAAGGGGCGTGAATTTTCTTTTTTTGAATTCAGAAAGAAAATTTATTACATGGAATGTTCATATCGAGAATATTCTACATTGAACATGAAGAAAAAATTAATTTTTTATTCAAACATATCTACCTGAAGACGGTTGCGAGACATTGAGAAACACTCTGGAAATATCAAAGTATAATCCTCAATAAATCCACACCCAAAACGGCGGCCCCCTAATATACAGTTTTCTCTCTAAACCACTATATATATATATATATATATATATATATATATATATATATATATATATATATACCGGTGTAACAGCAAAATTGTTCAATTGTTAGAATAAGATTTGAACTATTGTGTCTTTAGAAATGATTAATGATATCCAACTGGAATTATCCGAGTTTTTTATAATACTATTGGACTCTACTTTGAACAATAAGAATGAATTTAGCTCTAAGTTGAAACGATGATCCCTCTTCCTCTTGTGACCTCCTGATCCAGTTTTCCGCTCTACTGTTCCCCCCTTTTTTAAACTTCTTCATCGTTCTCTTGATGGTTCCTGAATGGACTTTGAAGATGAAAGCCAGAGTATAAATGTTGGTATCATTAATGAAGGCCTGAATGATCTTTCCGATGAACAATTCAGAGCCCTTATCCCTTACACCAGGGCTCGGCAACCTTTTGATAACTATATGCCAACTTAGGATTTCAATATACTTTTTCTACAATATATCTTATATAGTAATATATAGTACATATACTTTAGTATATATTAAAATTGAAACAGATTCTTTGCGTTTTTGTAGTTATTGCTTCGGACTTTGTGATGTCATTTACGGCTGCGTGCCATTGGAAATTACTTACGTCACACGTGTGGCACGCGTGCCGTATTTGTCCGACCCCGATATAAACAAATATAATAAACTGACATTGTCAGTTTTATCAAATAAATATAAGAGTATCCTGAAAATGCTCATAGTATCGGTTGGTTAATAAGAATAAAATACATAATAAAAATGTCCTAAAGCAGAGGTCGGCAACCTTTTGCTAAATGTTGTAACCTAGAAAGGGTTACTAAAACGGAAGTTGGAAATGAAATGGTAATCTTTATAATATCAACAAAATACAATACTCGCCAGCGGCGTGAAGCAGGTAAACCACTGCTAGTGGTGGCCCACTTAGACAGCATATTACCCCCACTTACAATAGTGTCCAATGTATTGATGAGAATTGGGACATAACCAGTAGTGTTCATAGGTACAGTATATAACAAAAATGTTTCACATAATAAAAACCTGTGCATCACATGATAGATAGATAATGTAATATATATATATATATATATATATATATATATATATATATATATATATATATATATAGATAGATAGATAGATAGATAATGAATTGTGGTGAACTACTTAGACAGTATATAACTGTAAAATTGTTCAACGTATTTATGAAGATTGGGACATAATAACCAGTAGTGTTCATAGGTACAGTATATAACAAAAATGTTTCACCCTGTGCATCACATGATAAAATAGATAGTTCAACGTATTTAGACAGCATATAACTCCCACCTAAAATATATTTATGGGATTGGGGACATAACCAGTAGTGTTCTATAGGTACAGTATATAACAAAAATATTTCACATAATAAAAACCTGTGCATCACATGATAGATAGATAATGTAATATATATATATATATATATATATATATATATATATATAGATAGATAGATAGATAGATAGATAGATAGATGTAATTGTGGTGAACTACTTAGACAGCATATAACTCCCAATCTAAAATAGTGTTCAACGTATTTATGAGGATTGGGACATACACATTAGTGTTCATTTGGCGGTATCTAACACTATGTACCAACTTAGGGTTTCAAAAATCATCCAGTGTGCCAACAGCATACGAATTTTTATAAAAGTCAAGGTCAATATACCGGTTCTACAATATATTTTATATAGTAATATATAGTATATATAATTTAGTATATATTAAAATTGAAACAGCTAAATATCTTCTTTGTGTTGTAGTAGTTATTGGTTCGGACTTCATGATGTTATTTGCGGCTGTGTGTCATTGGAAATTGCTTGGCATGCCATTACACAAGCTTACAGCAGCTAGTATCCTTCCCACCCGAAAGATAAAGTATTCTACCCTGATTAGATGGTCTACTGTTATATTTTATGCCAGTTTCATTAATGTTTGTTTGTGTCTATGTTTCTCCTTCATTGACCTCTTTCGCTATGAATTTACTTCAAAATAAAAACAATAAGATTTTTTTTTTAGCTGAGTCAGGCTTTATGTTGATCAGTGAGTGAATAGTCGAAGTAAATAATTCTTCCCACGCACTATTCAACAGACCCCACACTACCTCCAGCAGATGTTATTTAAACGAATACATATGCAAGTCTTTTTTTTCTCCCAAGAGATCTTGACCATTTTTTTCATCCGAGCAGAAGAGACTGAACAATGAACTGGGAAATGCGTTTATAAACATTTATGGCCCACTTCCCAGGACTTTTTCAGGTATATGATTGTCAAGACGAACAGATTTTTAGTGTACGTGGAATTTAATGCGACCTTGTAAAATAGCGATAGCTGCTGGGTAACAGGTATTGGTAAAACTGAAAGTATGTACAGAGACGAACATGGAGGCGTTTAAGACGTTTTCATGCGACAGGATTATAATTCGAAAAAAAGAGAGGCTTCTCATGTATTTCGCTTTTCAAAACAGAAGTGAAAAAGTGAACGTCTACGTCAGCTGATCACGATCGATTGATCAATCGATCGATCTCAGTCTGTTCAAATCTTTGTATCAATTTTCACAATTATTTATGTAAGCCTATTCATATCGATACATGTACGTATGTCTGTAAGACTTATTTTACTTAGTTCATCTATCAACTTCTGTTTTCATCTATCTATCTATCTATCTATCTATCTTATGGTTCATATATGGTAATAAAATAAAGTTCTTGAGTATGTGTAGTCACTCCAACATTGCATATTTAGTGTAATTAAGTCCTAAAGGAAGAAACAAGTAAACATTTCCACTTTCTCTCTCTCTCTCTCTCACACACACACACACACACACATATATATATATATATATATATATATAAATTAGTCTCTTCATATCACAATCTGTTCATATTTATCTATCTATCTGTCTATCGCAGTCTATTAATATCTATCTATCCATCTCTCCCAGTTTATTCATATTTGTCAATCTATCACAATATTTTCGGATCTATCTATCTATCTATCTATCTATCTATCACAGTCTTTTTCATATCTATCTATCTATCTATCTATCTATCTATCTATCTATCTATCTATCTATCTAATAGATATATATCGATATATAAAGAATAACAAAGAGATTGTGTTTTGCTTAGAATTTTTTTAGCTCCGTATGTGTAGCCACGCCAACATGGCATATTTAGTCTGATGAAGTCCTAATGGAAGAAACGTGTCACAAGAAAACTTTTCCATTTTGTCACACACATATATATATATATATATATATATATATATATATATATATATCAGTCTCTTCATATCTATCACACTCTTCATATTAATCTATCTCTCTGTCTATCGCAGTCTGTTAATCTCTCTCACTCTATCTCTCTCTCTCTCTATCTCTCTCTCCCAGTTTATTCACATTTATCAATCTATCACAATATTCTCGGATCTATCTATCTATCTATCTATCTATCTATCTATCTATCTATCACAGTCTTTTTCATATCTATCTATCTATCTATCTAATAGGTATATATGGATATATAAAAATAACAGAGATTGTTTTTGCTTAGAAATTCTGTTGCTCCGTAAATCTCATATTAATGTGTTTAAGGCAAACAGATTTTAAAAAGTGCAGACCTTTCAGAAGAATGACTGAAAAATTCAACTCCTAATTCCGCTGAGGGGCTATTTTCGGTATCTCACTGCTTCTTGCTTTTGACTTTCTTGTATTGCAATTTTGGGGATTCTTAAAATAATAGCGCCGAGTTAGACCAATTCGCTCTTTCCGCCGAAAATGGCAACGCTGCTTCAAAAGTACACCCCTTGGGACTACTCGCATTTATTCGAACACTCTTTCTAGTTTTCCCAAACTCTTTGCAAATTCTCTTTCGGGATCTTCATCGGTTTCCAGATCCATAGATTTCCCAGGGTGATTTCAGCTTTCCTAAAATCCAGAAGTCGCAATGAACAAAGTCCATGAAGCTATGTCCCTGCGTGACATGTGAAGATCTTACCCATCTTGTTATTTTCAACTGTAATATAGGACAAAATTCACTCACTGGTATCTCAATGGTAGCTGGGTAATCCAAAAAGAGATTATTTGTGTTGTGGATTCTGGGATGAAATCCAGTCTCAAATGAATGACAAACGCAGGAATGAAATATAACAAATAAATGTATTGACGTAATAATACAATTGGTAATACGGTTAGTAGATCCACAAATGCGGTTAGTAGCAATAATAATATATATATAGTCTGGGAAATTCAGTATTGAAGTATGACTCCCATCTGAGTCTACGTGCTCGCAACTGTGACTCCTACAAAGTGGTTACCTCACACACTCACTCTCTCACTCTCTCACTCCCGGGTATTCACCGGCAGCAGTACAAGTACACACTGGACAAGTCCACTTGTATGAAAAAGGGGTGGACCCCATAACAATTTGTTTACGCAAGAGCTTAATATTGGTTGTCACATTACATCAAAGCCGCGTACACGGTGCTCAACATATTCAAAATAGCTGGAAACGTTTATATTTTTCTGTCTTTTTTTTGTGTATTTCATTTGATTTCTATCTAACTCATTTATTATATATATATATATATATATATATATATATATATATATATATATATATTGTGTATATTTAGGCAGCAATTTTTTCATTAATGCATGTTTCGTTAAATAATATTTTTTTGTATTTTTTTTAAATAATAGTTTTTGTCGATTTATTTTAAGTAAGTTCCTTTCATATTGTGTGATAAGCTTAGCAACATTATCATTGAAAGACGAAAGGAAATCACCATATTGATACGTTTAAATCCAATCTAAGCTTTCAGCTTACATAAGCCATTATCAAAGCAGTAAATTCGACCTTGCCTACCGAACGCTCCTTTGTGGCCGAGTCGGTTAAGGCACGTCAGCGTAAATGACGGTTCCGTATACGATGCAGGTTCGAATCCTGTCAAAGGACGAATATTTTCTATGAAATGTTCTCGGACATTCAGGCCGGTAAATGTTATTTAATACTGTTTATTATAAACAGAGCATTTACTTAAATACTTGTATCTATAAAAAGAATGTTAAACATAAAAATGTCTTTAATAAATTGTCGGACTTTGTCCATTTCTTAATGTATATATAGAAATGATAAATATATATATATATATATATATATATATATCGGACTCTCCCATCGTTGATGGATGCGGGTTGTTGACCAGTGACTACTGGGAATTCTTTACGACGTATGAGGCTTAAGAAGGTTCCTAGGAACCGACATTGAGACACCAGTACATAGGATTTGGTTATAGTGTTGAAGGCTTTTGTGCAGAACCAACCACATTTTTGAGGAGCCGAATATAGAGAAATTGTGCCACAAGGTCCACAACTGACCCTCCTTAGGTTTTGAATTCAAAGTTGTCCTTCTCCTAGACCAGTTGCCATTCAAGGCTATAAAACCCAGTCTGTCCTGCTATTTACCCATAGCTGTGGGAGAAGAGGAAGATTCATACCTTTCCAAAGGGTATAAGTGAATGTAATAGATTCGACTGGAATTCGAACTTGGCTCTCCGATTCCTCAATCCGAGCATTACATATATATATATATAAGTACATATAGGCGTAAAATTGCTCAGCATTAGGAACAGAAAGTATGTCACTATAAAAGTGAACACTGAATTCAACACGCAGAATGTTTCTTTCATGCATGAACGCTATCATAAGGCCTGTAAACAAGCAGGAAATAATCTATAGCCTTTTGGTGTTGATCTTAGTGTCTTCTAAGAATTTTATATATATATATAATTTATAGAATCTAGAAGAATCTTCAACAGAATGCAGAAAGCACTGGACGTCCGTTTCGTCCGATGTTGGGACTCATCAGCAGTACGCATCCATTACTGAACTCAACTCGAAATTTGTAAAGACCAGGCGCTAATAATATATATAATATATATATATATATATATATATATATCCTTTCTTGAACCGGCTTCTAATGCTCTGGATGACGTGACTCATGGGGGCACAGAGTCCGTTGGTATTTGTACACTTGGACGAGTTACACAACGAAATTCGTGAAGATCAGACGCTATATCGAGTCTATTTCATTATCTCTTCGTCACCGAGGCACGTTGGTCTAGTGGGTTTTACACTTGCCTCATATTGTAACGGTCCGGTTTCGAAAATAAAAATAGGATGAAACGGCTCTCCAGTGCCTTCTGCATTCTGTTGAGAATTCTTCTGAACTGGATGAATTCCTTACTCATGATTATTCAACCCCAGTAATTCCTCTCTCTCTTTCTCGCTGTCTCTCCCTATATATATATATATATATATATATATATATATATATATATAAATCTGAAGTACTATGTCTGTAGATGTGTTTGCTTATCTAACTCCCTATCCTGATTAAATTTCATGTAAGTAGTAACTCGTACTATGTAATCCAGTACCAGGTTTTGGTAATACATCTAGGCGGTTATCTGATTAAATGTCATATGTATGCATGTAAGTAGACACTGTAACAATATGTAATGCCAACCATTACATCATAGCAACTACAATCCAAATTGTCTCATCGCCCTGACGACAATACCTATGTTGTTAGCAACAAGGTTTGCAGATCATCTGGAGTGAGCAGGCACATGATTGCACACAGGAGAGTTGTAGGGCATGTAAACCCAATCAATGATACACAGCTTATCTGTGATCCATACCTGTTAGCAATGAAATTGAATGATCGACTCAAAAGTCATATTAGCGGTAATGGACATCGAAAAGAAATGGAATCCATTTCAAATGATGAGTGGACGGTTGCTCTCACCTGAGTAAAATGTTGCAATCACCGCTATCTATCTAGTCAGGTCTCTCTCTATGACCTGCTAGTTCTATGTAACCCAGTACTAAATGCCGCATGCCCAAAATAAACTGGTTCCCCCCAGGCGTTTCTCATCTTGAATGTGGCTATACACCCTACAATGCCATTCAAAGTGTGTATGAATTCGTTTATGTCATCAACCAAACGCTCAGTGATTTAGAAATATATGGATTTGTGCCCATGAACGCAGTAAGAGTAATAAGAGTCTTAGATCCTTTAGCCTTAGACAAATGAAAACTGAAGAAAATATCTTGATAGCCTCCAATGATGTTGACTGATCCCTATTTTGGGAAACATGCTGTTCTTGCTGAGAAAGTACGATTCACCCAGACTAACCCATTTCTTCAATTATTCACAGGCATTACTTCGTATCGTGAGTCACATTTGAATCTTGTAATGATATCTTGCGATGTTCCCTGCTAATCAATGAGCGGACATATATGTAAGTATCTATCTATCTATCTATCTATCTATCTATCTATCTATCTATCTATCTCAGTGTGTTTATATCTATCTCTCTGACTCAGTCTGCACATATCTATCTTTCTATCTATCTCAGTGTGTTCATATATATCTTATTCTCTTCAAATCTATCTATATATCTATCTATCTAGTTTTTTGAATCAGTATGCAGTTCATATTTAAAACTTAGCATCAACGAAAGTACTGACATCTTTCTTTTAGCGCAATATTTTAAAAAGAAGAAGACGCTCTTTGTACTGATGAAGAAGCGCGATTATGCGTGCATTTATCTTGCTGATTGTCGGGTGACTGAATTTCTCTCAGTCGATGAAATCTGCACTTGACTCATTCCGACTTCTCAGGTGAATACATATATTCTTTTAGAGAACGAATAAATGGAAATAAAAGGTCACCCATTTGGGATGAATGTTTGTAAAAGATAGATAGATTGATAGATAGATAAATTTGTAACTGAATGAAAAAAATACATAGATAAATAATTAGCATACTGAAATAGATAGATAGGTGTTTAATTGAATGACAAAATAGATAGATAGATAGATAGATAGATAGATAGATAGATAGATAGATAGATAGATATCTCTGTAATTGAACGACAAAAATAGATAGTTAATTAGCACACTGAAATAAATAGGTAGATAGATAGATCGATGTTAGATCGTAGATATGAATAGCGATCAAATAAAATATAGATTAATTATGAATTCGAATCTAACAGAATGATAGGGTAAAGAACGAATAGAAAACATTCACGAATTTAACATGTTTCGGTTTTATTTAAACTTCATCAGCAAATGAAATATGGAATAGAAAAAATCTAGTATTTTTTATGTCTATGTAGCTTGTTTTTCATTGGTTAATTAAACACACTTGTGTTTGTCATGTTCGGTAGCGTTTATGTGTAAAATTCATACATGTATGTATATCTTAATCCTATGCGGGCATCGTTTGGTAATGTGATTATGTGTGCGTCTAGTAGACATATATATTTCTGTTAAAAGTCTGTGTTATAGATTGGAAGAAGTTTTATGTGGGAATGAATACACACACGCACACATAATATCATAATTATTTTGTATTTAAAAATATGATTCCATCGCTACACCGGAATTACCATGTTTCAAAAGAGAAACTAAAATTTTAAATTTAATTACAAAATAATAGGTTATTCCCAAAAACGCTTGAGAATGGAACTGGGCTCTGGATTTTAAATTTAATTTTATAATTAAATTTAAAATTTTAGTTTCTGTTTTGAAACATGTTAATTCCTGTGTAGTGATGGAACCATATTTTTAAAATAGAAAATAATCTAGGTGGGTATTCAACTGACCCTCTTCTCCATCTGTTTTGCATATTTTCATCCATATAAGTTCTCATATCACGGTAATTAATTATTAACTATTAATATTTAAAGAGCGTATACATTATTTTGGGATACCCTGTATAAATGTATAGATAATGAACAGACTGATATAATAGATAGATAGATAGATAGATAGATAGATAGATAGATAGATAGATAGATAGATAGATAGAATTTAATAGCTATACACACACACATATATATATATATAACTATTCGTGTGTGCATGTGTGAAATTAATGGATAAATAATAATTTCTTGGTTGTGTCTCTAAGCCTGAGCAAACGAGGAGATACATAATGAAATTTACGTTGGGTGTTGATTGAAGATGGAGTTAAAACACGTGCCCCATTTTTTACGCTTCGTTTGATTGTCACTTCAAAGTAATTCGGCACATAATGTCGTATTCTCTATATAAATGCAAATATATTTAACATAACGACTTCTTATATACATACATACATGCCTACATAGATACATACACACATCAATACATACATACACACACATATTCATATAGATCAAACCTTGCAGGAAGTTCTTAGATCGGCCAAAAGTGCTCTCTCCTCCAACTCTGATTATCAGTCTCTATGGCCATTTGTAATTTTCTAATATACATATATATATATATATATATATATATATATATATATATATATATATATGCACACTCTGACATATATATATATATATATATATATATATATATATATATATATATATATATATATATATTAATTTAAAAAAAAACAGACCACTTTAAGGCTCCATTTGTGATAATTTATTTCACCAGAGAATTTTATTTTTCTCTGGATCTTCAGACTTCACTTTCAAAAGGTGAAACGAAAAATGAATTTAAAATTTAAAATTTACACTTATGACGGGCAGTATTAATCTTATATAATTTGACATAGAGGCTGGTGAGGAATGGTATGAGAGGCATGGTCGAGTTTAGAGAGGGAAGGGAAAGTTTTAAAATTTATTTTTATATTTCTTTTTATTGTAATACTTAATATTGAGGAAGGAGGAGGTAAGGATCAGACATTGACCTATTTAATCGGTCAACTCAACGGAAATGATATTGGAAAAGGAAAAGGAGAAAAAAGGGGGAGAAAGTGGGAGAGTAAAGAGATGTACGAAGTTCCAGAGAAAAATAAAATTCTCTGGTCAAATAAATTATTGCAAATGGAAGCTTAAAGTGGTATGTTTTTTCTTTAAATTAAATTATTCGCTCTGATTTAACATTGAGCTCTCAGTTTTCGACTATATTTTCATGAGTATGTATATGTCATCGTAATATCGAACAACCATTGTAGATTTGTTGAAAGTAATAAAGATTTTCCGTTCAACGTGAGTCATGTAGATAAAGAGGGATTGAGAGGTGAGCCCATGGCCATATCTGTCAGCCTGTGTTTAAGTGCTAATATAATGGTCATTAAAAAGGTACTCGTAACGTGACAGCGGCGAAAGGGGAGAATAATATTTTAATCATTTCACTGCCAGCAATAACGGCACAAAGACGTAATGGGTTCCTGAGAGTGAAGAGAACTGAAAAAAAAAAACCTTTCTGAAGAAAAATTAATACGATTAGGATTCAAGGAGACAAAGATGACATATAGCATTTCATTTAATTTTTGAATATAATGGTTTACAAGAAAGGGGAAATTAGAAAAAGGTACCACAAATAAGAAGTGTGAGAGAGAATGTATATGAATAGACCATACAGCAATTTGAATAGTAAAATGATGAGGCCTAACGGCCAATCTAGTACTGCGCTTAAATTAAAATATTCGAGATACCAATGAGGAAAGATCATCAAAAAAATTAAGATGAAAATATTTATATCAGAAGTACCAGACCAAATTTGCTTGCATTATTTAAATTATTCGGACAGTTATCCTCATCTTCATTGCCATATTCACAATGTTTCGGCCGTTGTACGCTCCGGCCTTTATGCCTATGTCTCTCTATATCTGTCTATATCTCTGAGATGAGGTATTATGATTACTTGCATTATTTACATTATTCGGACTGTTATCCTCATCTTCATTGCCATATTCACAACGTTTCGGCCGTTGTACGCTCCGGCCTTTATGTCTATGTCTCTCTATATATCTGTCTATATCTCTAAGATGAGGTATTATGATTACTTGCATTATTTACATTATTCGGACTGTTATCCTCATCTTCATTGCCATATTCACAACGTTTCGGCCGTTGGCTCGTTTTATGTCTATGTCTCCTATATATCTGTCTTTCTCTGAGATGCCTTATGATTACTCATTATTTATTATTCGGACTGTTATCCTCATCTTCATTGCCATATTCACAACGTTTCGAGATCGGCCTTTATGCCTATGATATATCTGTCTATATATTTTACGTTTATTTACGTTAGACTGTTATCCTCATCTTCATTGCCCTATTCCAACTTTTCATTACTAACTTTATTTACTGTACCGTAGCGTAGAAACGGCCGAAATGTTGTGAATGAAAATGAGGATAACAGTTAGAATAATGTAAATAATGCAAAGTAATCATAATACGTCATCTCAGAGATATCGTTAAATACCAAATTTGATAAAATATTTAATGCACGGACAAATGGTAGACTTGTAAATGTGAAAGATAAATTCAAATGAGAAAAATTGTGTAGTACGACATGATAAACCAACCTTCTTAGCGTCAAACTCAGCGGGTTTACTTGATATAATCGCTTGTATATGTTTTGCATTTTTATGCATATAATTTATTTAAAGGGGACATTAGTAAAAGGTGAAAGTTTAATGAGGTTAGGATGCCGTTACTTCGTTGATGTTATTAAAACTATATCTATTAGTTAAGTATGGTATGATCAGTTGGTTTAACGTTTCGGATAAAGAGTATTTTATCTATGTGTAAAACTAATAAGTGTATATAATAATAATAATAGTCTTATAATTCTTTTTCGCTTAGTGAAAGCCCTTTACATATGACGTCATTAATATTATACGTAGAAATGTGTATGAATTTGAATTGTAGTGTTCAAAATATGCCAAGATATAGCCTACAAAGTTTCGTCTAGCGTACAATTTATTACGACGGAGGTGACCGAAATTCATCATCATTTATCAGTTAGCGCATTTTGCACCACTGGGATCACCACTCTTCGCCATCTAACATGGTGCTATTCTAAGATAGATAGATAGATAGATAGATAGATAGATAGATAGATAAATAGATATGACCTTTATGGCATAGCATGAAATTCGTGCAAATAAACCTCTGAAAGCACAAAGCCAAATCCAGCTAATAAGACTGAAACGTTTTCTTAAACCTTTTTGTTTATTTGGATACATTTCCGCGTGGATATATCGGCAAAGATTTTCGATGACGACACATGCTTCTGCGCATGCGTGCGTGTTAGCAGCTTACCAGTGCTCACATCTACGCATGCGTAAATTTGGCTTCCATATCCAGTTTTTCTTGTCGATGACTCCCCAACTCTCTTTCTTTTCTATCTTGAATCCCTTCCCAACAACCTTTGCATCAACAAAACAAAGGATCTGAGAATATAGACGCTACTCAATTTTCATGACATTTTATCAGACACTAATTTGGTGGAGGGAATATTTTTTATTTTATTTTTTTCCTTCTGTAAAAAAATAATGGCTATTTTCTTTTTCGGCTTTCTGTAGAAAACAATCGAAAAGCAAATGACGCCAAGAATCCGAAAATAAAGAAAATAAAAATAATAAATAAAATATATTATTTCCTTGATTACGAGAATATTCCTT